AAAATAGCAGTCTCTGTATTTTTCTTTACAATCTTTACAAAGATGTTTACTAAATAAACTGAAAAATGCTTGAAGATTTAGCTTTCCTGTGAATCACTGAACTAATATTTAATTGTATAATCACCGTTTCTGAGAACGGCTTCATATGCGTGTTGCATGGAGTCGACCAACTTCTGACACCTGTGAATAGGTATTCCAGCCCAGGACGATGGCACTACATCCTACAATTCCTCTGCATTTCTTGGTTTTACCTCCAGAACAGCATTTTGTCACCCCACAAGTTTTCTATTGGATTAAGGTCCTGGGATTGGGCTGGCCACTCCATAACCTTAACCTTTTTGGTCTGGAACCAAGATACTGCTCGCCTACTAGTGTGTTTGGGGTTGTTGACTTGTTAAAACACCCATTTCCAGAGCATTTCCTCTTCGACGTAAGGCAACATGACCTCTTCAAGTGTTTTGATGTATTCAAACTGATCCATGATCCTTGATATGAATAAGTAAATAGGCCCAACACCATAGTATGAGAAACTTCTCCATATCATGATGCCTGTGCCACCATGCTTTACTATCTTCACAGTGTACTGTGTCTTGAATTCAGTGTTTGGGGGTTGTCTGACAAACTGCTGGCAGCCCCTGGATCCAAAAAGATAAATTTTTGCTTTCATCAGTCCACAAAAGGTTGTGCCATTTCTCTATAGGCCAGCCTCTTCAGCACGTCGTCTTTTTTTTTTTTTTTTACAACAGTGGGACTTTGCGGGGGCTTCTTGCCGATAGCTTGGCTTCACATGGGCATTTTCTAATTGTTACAGTACTCAGAGGTAACTTTAGACCTTCTTTGAGCACCTTGGAGTGAATCATTGGCTGAGTCTTTGCCATTTTGGCTATTTGTTGATCCATTCGAATGGCAGCTTTCCATTTTCTTCCAAGCCTTTCTGGTTTTGGTTGCCATTTTAAAGCATGAAATTATTATAGCTTAGCAGCCTATGTACTTCTTTATATGTTTTCCCCTTTCCAATCAACTTTTTATTCAAAGTACACTGTTCTTCTGAACAATGTCTGGAACAACCAATTTTACTTAGAGAGAAAAGCACTATACCTAGCATGTACAACATTTGCTGACTTTGTCATTAAAAAAAGGGCCAACCTGTTTGACACTTCTATTTTCACAGACTGAATGACCTCACTAATAGAACTCCACACTGCTATTACTCTGAACATGCCCCTTTCAATTAATGATTCAATTACACAGAATCCGCAGCATGCATGTCACGCCTGTTGGTTTTCTATTACTTTACTACACCTACTAGTAAATTATCTGCCATTTAGAAATATAATTTATACCAAAAACAGTGATTGATCTGGTTAGTGATGTTGGACTACTATTATTTTGAACACAACTGTATATGCTATATATTTTTTAATTGCTTTTTTTCCCCCCACAAGAGTTGCTGCCCTTTAAATTTAGATATTTATGTGTTACAAAAAATATGTAAAGCTCAACTGAACGTTAAATTGGCCAAATACATTCAAGGTGCATGAAAACAAAGGTGGTGTAAAGTCTGAGCCCTGGTTCACACTGAATGTGACTTTGCACTACTTCACTTTCAAAGCCTCAGGTCCATGAAATATCAGGTGCAACTTGTCTGGCATCTGTGCAACTTCACGCAAAGAGGTCTATGCAAGTTGCACTTGAAATTGACAAAAATAGTGCAGGAACTATTTTCAAAATAGCTGCGACTCCGACAGGTTCTGACTTGCACCGATTTGGACAGTTCCATTACCGACCATAGGATGCTACTTGTCATGCAATTTGGAACTGTCAAATCGCATATCAAGTTGCATCTTTATAAAGCAGCCATATGCGGAGTAGAAAAGCCTATTCCCTGACAAAATTCTGTAGAGGATGACTCTAGCTATTTGCGTGGAAGTAGTGGTCTTCTCTGCAGTGATACGACATGCCCCATTTCAAAAACTATACTGTAAAGCGCTGAGCAAACTGATGGCGCTATATAAATCCTGAAGAATAAGAATTATAACTAAAGATCCACAATCAGCAGCCTTTGCACACTCCAAGGGGGCTTTCATGTGTTTTGTACTCAGGAGAGGCTTCTGTCTAGCCACTGTGCCATAAAACTCAGATCAGTGGAGGGCTGCAGTGATGGATGTACTTCTGGAACGTTGCCCCATCTCTACATAAGATATCTAGAGCCTTCAGTGCATCAGACATTTGTTTGTAGCCTTCCCCAGATTTGTGCCTTGCAATAATCCTGAGCTGTGCAGGTAGCTCCTTTGACCTCATGTCTTTTGTTCTACTACAGTATGCATTGTCAGTTGTGAGGCCTTTTATACAGAGGTGTATGCCTTTCCAAATCATGTCCAATCAATTTAATTTACCACAGGTGGACTTCAATCAAAGGTGTAGAAACATCAACAATGATCAAGAGAAACGGGAGGCCCCTGAGCTAAATTTCAAGGATTGTTGCAAAGGGTCTGAATACTTATGGAAATGCAATATTTCAGTTTTTTCTTTTTAATAAATTCACAGTCATTTCTAAAATGTCTGTTTTTGTTTTGTCATTCTGGGCTACTGGATGTAGAGTAATGAGAAAAAAAATTAAACAATTGTAGTATCAGGCATTGAAAAAAGTGAAGGGGGTCTGAATACTTGAATACTATGAATGCACTGTATGTCTGATCTCTGTAGAGAGACTACTGCTTTCACACAAAGCAATGTTACTTCTTTACAACACACTAGCAGGTGACAGACTTTTTGCTCAGTTGCAGCTTGCTTTTTAAAGATAAACTGTAAGATGGTGCACAGTTTTGTTTTGATGCATTTGAAATGTATTTAACTAATGTAAACTGAAAATTCATTTAGCCTTTTTTTTTTAATCCTTAAAGTGATACTAAAGGTTCGCCCTTAATCTTAACCCTTCCCCCTGCCAGAGCTGCTTGCTCTGGGGCACTCGCGTGCGTGCTTGCTCCTGAGCTGCCTCTGTGTGTCTGATGAGACACACAGAGCGTGGCTCGGCCCTGCCCCCTCCTCATTGGCCGTGTCTCAGCCAATGAGGAGGGAGAGACCCAGGAAAGCCTCTGCTCTCGTGCATAATTGCTGAATCTGGATTGGGCTCAGGTTAGTATAAGGAGTTGCACACTGAAATTCTTTTACCTTTATGCATCGAATGCATGAATGTAAAAAAAAAAAAATTCAGCTCTTCGAACCACTTTAACTGCATTCATTGTGGTTATCTATTATCTGCCTGGCATTTAGCTGTAAGAGATTATCTCTTTGGTAAATCACACAGCAGAATATTAAGCCCTTTCCATAAACAAAGGAAAATGACAAATATTATAACAAACACTTGTTTTGTAAGAAAAAGATGAAACTAGCAGTGAATTTCATGCTTTCAGAGGAAATTAGGTAAAGGAAACTTGTCTTTGCAAGCCTGGAGCATAAACTTTTTATAATAACTGCCTATTTCGGGCTCCTCCATAAAATGGTGCTTATGTTACACGATAACAATAACATACGATTATATATGGAGCTAACTGCAACTTAAATTTCTAAACCTGGTCCTTTAAAGAAGAACTCCAGACAAAAAAATTTAAGATAAAAATGATTAGCCCAATAAAAGATAACACAGCCAGCCTTTGCTCCAATATTCACCTTCAATTCAGAGATTTCCCCTTCATTAAATTATTTTTTTGCCATTAGACGTCACAAACCCAATGTCTCACAATATCCTTGAAGTACAGGGGCTGCAAAGGGCTGATATCAGGCCAAATTCTGGCACTCACACTGCTAGCATTTAAAAGAAAAACAATAAGTGTATTAAAGTGTTAATAAACCCAGGATCCTGCATTCACTCTATATGGTCTCCACACAGTACACAGAACATGGAAGTGCCATTATTTTAGTAAAGATAAACTGCTAAACAACTTTCCTCATCAGCAGTATATAGCAGTCTTGTGACTTTAGCTGAGAACTGGTTAAAATTGCAGCAGGAGTGTTCTTTCTGCTCTAGGAGGATGCAGAACCCCTGGCCTCTGTCTGGACAGTGCTCATTAGCCCTGTGCTGATCACATGCACTCTCCCAAGAAAAATACTAACAATACAAACCAAACTGAGCATGTGCAGAATGGCTATGGTTCAAACTGAGCATGGTTCAGTCTGTCTTATCAGGTGCACATCTGAACAAGAGGAGGGGCAGAGAAGTCCGGATCAAATGGCCTTTTTACACTATGCAGAGGATTAACCCCTTAGGTTTCACAGTGAGTATAACAAGCATGCTTTACTGCATATACAGGCTGATTTTACTGTTGTGGGTTTAGTAATACTTTAAATGATTACAGAGCTGTATTCATTTGTGTCTTTTATATTTGTGCAGAGTGCAGTTCTAAGGTTTATACAGTAAGCTTTCAAACAGTATTTGTGGAGATCTGATTTTAGCATATTAGTGATTTTCACAAGATAAAATATCTGTTCTAATATTTATTCATGTGCATCTTCAGTCTGTAAGTCATCTTTTGCTCTTCAACTTCTCTTCAGGGGATCAGTCTTTTTTTGACAGATTGGGCTTCATTACATCATAATACAGTTTTGCCATGATAAAAGGGGTAAGTCTGAGTTTTAGGGTTAAGTTTAGGGTCAACGGTCAGTTTAACCACTAGCCTACAGGGCACTTATACCCCCTTCCTGCCCAGGCCAATTTCCAGCTTTAAGTGCTGTTGCACTTTGAATAACAATTACGCGGTCGTGCAACACTGTACCCATATGAAATTTTTATCATTTTTTTGTGACAGACAGAGCTTTATTTTGGTGGTATTTAATCACCTCTGGGTTTTTATTTTTCTTAAACAAACCAAAAACCACTGAAATTAAAAAAAAAAAAAAAAACAAAAAAAGTTTTAGTTTTTGTAATAAAATTTTGTAAAGTGATTTTTCTCCTTGACCGATGTGCGCTAATGAAGCTGCACTGATGGGCACTGATAGGCTGCAGTGATAGACACTGATAGGTGGCACTGATGGGCATTGACAGGCATCACTGATGGGCACTGATAGGCAGCACTGACTGGCACTGATGCACACTGATAGGCGGCACTGACTGGCACTGATAAGCACTGACTGGCACTGATGGGTGACACTGAAAGGCAGCTCAGATGGGCACTGATATGTGGCATTGATGGGCACTGGCAGGTGGCATGGATGAGCACTGATTGACACTGACAGGTTGCACTGCTGGGGCTACACAGATCATCAGGGCACACTGATCATCAGTGCTCTGACGATCTGTGTACATGTCCCCTCCGAGGAATGCCGATTACCGGCTCTCCTCTCCTCATGAGCTATCAGCTTGACAGCTCATGGGGAGAGAAATGCCGATAACCGGCATTTCCCTGTTTACATGTGATCAGCTGTGATTGGACACAGCTGATTACATGACGGAGCTGACATCTTCAGCTCTTTCCGTGGATCGGTGATCAGCTGTGTCCGAGAGATACAGCGCACCGCCGATCGCCACGCTGTGCGCTCCGTGAGCCGCGCATGCGCGGTTAGAATGAGAGGATGTCATATGATGTCCTTCCAGAACGAGAGAACCACCTTGCGTCCGTCATATTACTATATGGCAGGTGGGAGGTGGTTAAAAGGTTAAGCGTTAGGCTTAGGGGTTTTAGTTATACATTTAGGGGTTTTGTTATTTTAAGGGTTGGGAATTACCTTTGGGGATTGAAAACTTAATTTTTGGTGTGAAAGCCCAGCTTCTCAGACGTTTGCCATTTGTCATTTTCAATGGCAATGAATGATCCTGTGCCAATAAACACAGACAAAAACAAATATATATACCATCTTTCTGTGCTTTGGGTATTATTTGTCTTCTATATAAAAATGTTGATAATTCTATATGATAAATGCAAGGAGCGTTCAAGTCAAACTGGGACTTTTGAGTTTATACAATAACAGAACAAATTTCAAAGAGTGAAAACTGCATTTATTTTTTTTTACATACTCCTCTGCTACATTTACACACATCCCAGCATTGAACTAATGCTTGGAAAGCTTTGGCATAGAAAGATTTGTCAGTATGCCTGAACCATCCTAGGACATTTGTAAATGATTATGTTCACGGTTCCCACAGAAACATTCGTCTTGTGCAATTTCATGACAGGTTTGATTATCCAGGATCAGATGTTCCATGGGCTGAATGTTCACAGGAATGACTGTTGTGGGCTGGGAACCACCACGGCCGGGATTGTCACTGACAGACGTACGGCCATCTTTAAAAAGTTTATACCATTCAAACTTCTTACTGCAGCTGAGCGTCTTATCACCGTACTGTGCTTGAAGTCTTCTGTAGATATCTGCGGGTTTTACACCTTCCTTCACAAGAAACTATCACCACACGCTGTTCCATGCATGCACCAAAACTGTTGTCTGCCATCTTGATTAATGGTCTCTGGACTGACCCGTGTCATGTGAGCTATCAGTAATAGGACACACTCGCCACTTACTACTGTGTAGTAGCGCCATGCTAGCATCCCTTTTTATACCTGTAAAATCAAAAGTCCCAGTTTGACTTGAACTCGTAATTAGAAAAGCAACAAACTAATGTCATGAAATTATGTTAATAATGCTATACAGCCACACACACAAGTATACAGCATGTGGCAAAGAGATGATACAATCCAGACGAAAACTAGATCCCTGCAGAATCTCTTCTCTACCTGTAGCATTATTGTTTACTTTCTCTGCAAGCAACGAACCCCCCCCCAATATGGTTTTTATATAAATGTAAACTAAGGTGTACATTTACTAGGAAATTCACAAACAATTGCTTTTCTACAGTCCAGTTTGGTAAAACTTTATTGCTATTGCAAAGAATAAACAACATTCCTTGTGATAGCATGGCCAGTAACAGCTACTCTTTACTGATAAATCTTGGGTTTATTAGACCCAGATGTCCCCTCTGCCCTCAAAAGCATATGATCAAAATGGATTTGATCAGATGCTTTACAAGCTGGTATGGGCTTGTAAATACAGAACCGAAACTGGAAGTGACAAAATTCTTGCTTTTCCCCTTTCCTGTACAAGTGATTGGGCAGCTGCAGAACAGCTTGGATTATCTCTACCCTGGATGCAACTTTGGATACCGAAATCATGGCTGTAGCTGTGTTCAGTTATTAAATATGGAATTGCTATTTACCACATTTCAACTGACCCATTTACTGTACGTTTCACAAACCTTGGCCACATTTTTTTTCAATTTTATTTTTTATATTTTGTGCTTTTTTGGGGTGGGATGGGGGCGGTGGGTCTTGGGTGGAATTATTGGAGGTCTGATTTCTATTTTTTGAGACAGAGAATGGGACTGAAGACAGTCCCTTTCTCTGCAGCCTCAGCTGCAATGCATATGAATGATATAGAGATCTCTGTATATAAGACTGGTAGTCATTTATAAAACTGAAACTTGGAAAACAGGGTTTACTATGCTCCAGTGATGAATGCACACAGGAGAGATCAGTAATGATCACTCACTATGCCCATCTAAGGAAAGGAAGGGGGCTGGTAAACATGTTTACCAGTGCCCCCCATCCCCCAAGATCTGCTGAGTGGGGGGGGGGGGGGGTTTGGAACAGCCCTGGATCATGGGATCAGTCTACTTTGTTTTTCTGTGGCTCCCCTGCAGCACCTAATGCCAGTGGGAGCGCGCTGAGAAAAGCTGGCAGCTGCAGGGAAACCACAGTAGATCAATGCCAGCAGATTGGTGCTGGGGCGGGGAGGGGGGCAGTGCTGCAGGGACCAGTGCAGCAGGGAAGGGGGAATTATAGTGGCGGGGGGGGGGGGGGTCATTTTATCCATGGCAGGGGGGAAAGTGGGGGAGAAATGTCAGAAGTAACGGCAGGTGTTGGATAAGGGGGGGGAGTCACATTTAAGGTCAACAGCTCTGATCAGCGGATCCGCTGATCAAAGCTATTGTTTTGTTCAGCAGAGTCTGCTGAACAGTTTTGATTTATTCAGGTCTGTCTGTACACCAGCTGGAAATAGTGCTGTAGGTCCGTATAGTGTATCGACCAGGCAGCAAATAGGGTTGAAGTGTATTTACTGAAATATAAAAAATGTCTTTCAAAATCTCTCTTCAGAATTAAAACTGGTGTTCTCAAACCTACATGCTTGTTCCAGGTCTGAACTCATTAAGGAGCTAAGGATGAAGCTGTCTTGTAAAACAGAGTAATGGTAGCTCCCATGTTTTTCTTTTGACATTAAATATCATATATAGTACACAATTTAAGTTCACATCTTCAAATCTGTGTTAGGTATCAAAACGGCTTATGACGACACTTTTCTCATTGTTCTAAACCAGGGGTGGACTGACAACTCATGGGGCCCCTGGGCAATAGGGGATCATGGGGCCCCTGTGTCCTTGCCCAAACTCAAAAAAAAGCCTATGAAAAAGATACCTGGGGCATCTCATGGGGCCCCCTACTAACCCCGGCCCTCGGGCAGTGCCAGTTTCCAAATGGTCAGTCCGCCCCTGTTCTATACACTACAGCAATATAAATCAAAATTAATATATTACCTTGCAAAATTACCCATTAGCAGAAATTATATTTAGACCTTAGAATCAACAAAGGTTGCTTAGCACTAAATAGTCTTTACTTCCCCAAAGTGCATGTTTTATATTCAGCTGCCTTTCCAAGAGTCATTTAAACCCTTCACTGTAGTTTTTTTTTTCCCTTTATTTCTAAATGTTCTCTTAATACTTCCATTAGTCAATACAGAGGTTCGGCTAAAGTTTGTATGTACTTACTCCTCAAGGCAATCCTTCCTAATCGGAGTATATACTTCAGTATCTGAAAGTAACATCCTTTTAAAATCTGTTTTGCTTTATAAAGGAAGTCTAGGAAGAAATAAAAACAACAAAATGTAGACCTCTTACTTTATATCAAGTATGGTTACTAAATCTTTCAAAGGAAGCACTTTATTTCTGCTTCTATCAAGCCACTTACATATTTTGTGCTTGTCTAGCCTGTTATATAACTTGTCTTTCTCTTAAACTCCTAAATATAGGAGACAGAGGAAGGAAAAAAAAAAAAAGTTTCATATACTGGCCAAATCAACCACAAAGGCTGCAATACCCTTCAAAACACACAGCATATAAAATAAATTCCAACCTTTCTTACTGACACATTTCTAGATAACAATAAAGCAATCCGTTTTGTGCTAGTCAGTACTAATTCTTCAAAGCTGTATAAGTCATCAAGGCTGTAATGCACTTTTGGGTATAAGCCCACCATTTTTTATATTATTTATATAAATCATTTTGCTTTTACAGGTATTTGTATTGTGTGCTGTTGAAAACAGAACACTGAACAAATAGATTTTATCTTTAAGAATAGGAAGGTTGAAGTGTAACATGAAAAAAAAAAAAGCTATGGCTTCAGGTCTTGGAAATTAAGTGATAAAGTACAGAAAATGTTTGGTTTTACCTTGGGGGGAAAAAAGCAGGCAAAATTAATAAAAAGATCATCTATATTTACATAGTATATGCTTTAAATGCTCTATCACATCAAGGTCAACTATAAAATAATGATCTCAATTTGCTACTTACAATTTATTGTGTTTTTGTGTTAATAAAAAGCCCTTTCCATTTGCAATTAGCAGAACCAGAAGTTTTATCCTTGCACTGGGTCTGTTATGTGTCTATAGCAGAAAAATCCAATCCACTAATTGGTAGGAAGTGGCTGCAAGAAGTGGGCACTTAATGAAATCTATGCATACGTTCATTTTCAAATGGCAACAGCTGATTTGTGTAATGAGATTTAACAGCATACTTGCTATGTATGTAATTGTTCAGTGGATTTATACTTTAAAAGGATTCCCTACATTTTAGAAGGTAGCCACCTGATTTCTGACGTCTCGGTGTAACAGATGCTTTTAAAAGTGAAATTCCTCACACACTAAAATTGTAGCACTTGCAGAAGCACACAGTTGCAGTATAATGAATTCTATATCTGGTTAGCTATATCTCTCCAAGACTTAGACTGGGAAGAAATATTGGCATCAATGAACACAACACAGAAATGGGAGTTTTTCAAAAAGACTGTATGTGAACACACTGCAAAAATTGAAAACGAGCGAGAGATTGCAAAAGATAGCAGGACCAGCCCCCCAAAATTCTTCAAATATATTAATAGTAAAAAGGTCCGGTCCAAGCATGTAGGCCCCTAATAAAATAATCTAAAGTGGGTGACTGGGGACAAAGAGAAGGCAAATTTGTTTAATATCTTCTTCAGCTCTATGTATACAAAGGAGCATGGGGGAGCTCTTGTCCATAATGGGCATGGTATTGACACAGCTCCAGAAGATCCACATTGGCTCACAATTGATATGATTCAAAAATATTTAGATAGAATAAAGGTGAATATAGCACATGGACCGGATGGCATACACCCACGGGTCCTTAAAGAATTGAGCTCTGTCATTTCAAAGCCATTGTTTCTAATTTTTAG